ATGATAGCTTTTAGGGTTAAAAAGAATTCTTTTTTCATACCTCTCAATCTGTGAATTACAGAGTTTATATACACAATATATAATTATTATAGATTATTTACAATAATTGCAATTGATCCTTTCCTTATTTGCTTGATCCAATTTCCTTATTTTTCTGATTCTGATCCTTTCCTTATTTGCTTGATTCTGATCTTTTCCTTATTTGCTTGATCCAATTTCCTTATTTTTCTGATTCTGATTGATTTTTTTCTGATTTGCTGATTGAATTTCCTTATTCTTACAGAAGTCATTTGATTCTCTGATTCTGATCCTTTCCTTATTTGCTTGATTCTGATCTTTTCCTTATTTGCTTGATCCAATTTCCTTATTTTTCTGATTCTGATTGATTTCCTTATTCTTACAGAGTCATTTGATTCTCTTATGAGAATTTTTTGGAATGATCTCTATCTCTCTCGAATTGATTCTTCAAAGAATTAACTCATTACGGCGGCTTTATTGCTATTATTTCAGCTGACTTGAGTAAATCTTTAAATTGTTCAGATTTAACTTCATGAAGTGCTTATAATAAAAGTTTGAATTCAGTTGGGAATTTGATTTTGAAGATTAAGCTCGGTTAATTTAGAATATATTAAGCTCGAGTTCGATTCATTTGAAACTTGTTTTTTGCATAAATAAGTTGAGTTAGCTTGTTTAGTAGCTCATTTATATTAACTAGAGTTCTAGCTTAAATTTAGGCTCATTAAGAGCTCGAGTTAAAGCTCTTTTTAGACTCATAAGAGCTTAAGTTTGGGCTCGATAAAAATTCAACTTGAAGTTTGATAATAGTTTATCAACAATTTTAATGCTTATTTTCAATTGCTCAATAACAACAACAATAATAATTGTTATTTTGAAAATCGGATTGGACCGATTGATCCAACCGATTTAATCAGGAACCAAATTACGGTCCGATCCAAATTGAAAAGTTAAAATAAGGATTAAAAAATTATTGAGAACTGAGTAAGAACTTTAATTTTTATAGGAGCATCTGCAACTGATATGTGAGATTTAATTACTCTTTTTTTAATCAATAAATATGTTTGGCAATTCTTCTTCAATTTATAAAAGAATTAGCTTTTGAACTTCAATTTATAAAATAATTAACTTTTGAACTTCTAGTTCAAATAGCCTTGTAAGATGATTGAAATCTTATAATGATAATAATTTTTAAGTAATTTTTATTTTCAGCTATTTATTTTATTTTTAATGTTAGGATATAACAATTAATATTTGATCAAAGATGCTTCACTAGTTTAAAAATTCTAGATATTTAATTCTAGATGAAAATTTATATTTGATATATATTCTCAACTTCTTTTCAGGACACCTTAGTTTGTCGTGATGGAGCAATTAGATAATATACTACACATTCAAAAGTTATTCTATAGTAATATTTAATTCTTAACGAAAATTAATTATGAAGGGGAGAACTGATGATAAGTTGTTGGCTTGATCTAAATAAATACTATTGCATGTAATAACATATCGTTTTACAGAAATATGGATTTATTTTTATAGTAAACTTTTTTGAAAATGTTTTCATAATAATTATTATGCAATTAATTACAATCATTTAATAAGTAAAAACAACAATAAAATTGCTTTATAATTATTTCAATTAACATATATGTTGTAGTCACCAAAGGTTTTATATATAAACTAGTTATGTACCATCGCGATGCTCTATTTTTTAAATTAAATTGAATGTAATTTTAAAAAAATTATTGTAATTTATATTTGCATTGCTTTAATTTAAATAATTTTCTTTTGTATTTTTAATTAAATGATGAAATGTAAAATTGTACGCTTTTTTTGAAATTCTCAAATAATGAACTGAAATATTAATTAGTAAAATTAATTATTATAATTAAATTATTGTATCTCGATTTATATATTAGTTAATTATTTATTTTTCTCTTTGAACTTCTTATATATTCAAATTAAATGGAATATAAAAATATTTAATTTTAATAAAATAAATTTTAGTGAATTGAAATTAGTGTTATAATTCTATTTGTTAATCTAATTATATTATTAATTAATTTTTTATTAACTATGGCTTTATTATAACCCAATTAATTTATTTATAATAAAAAATTTAATGTTATATATTAATTATAATGAAATCCTTAATTAGATTTATTAGTTTGTAACTCCATTATTTAATAAAAAATTAAATTTTATCAAATAAAAAAAGATTAATTATAAAGAAAAACATGTGACATCATCACTTTTATATTCTATCACGTTGCCACATAAGCATTTATACTTTAGAAATTATATATTTATATAGAATTAATTTTTATCAACTATGGCTCTATTATAACTCCAGTAGTTTTTTTATAGAATAAAAACTATTTAATAAAAAGTTTAATATTTATTATATATTAATTATATATGGCTCTATTATAACGTCCAGTAAGTTTTTTTATAGTAATAAAAAACTATTTAATAGAAAGTTTAATATTTATTAATATATTAGATTATAATGAAAATCCTTTATTAGTTTAATATTTATTATATATTAATTATAATGAAATCCTTTATTAAATTTATTAGTTTGTAACTCCATTATTTAATAAAAAAATTAATTTTTATTAAATAAAAGAAGATTAATTATAAAAAAAACAAAAAGCCACATCATCACTTTTATGTTCTAACATATTGCCACGTAAGCATTTATGTCTTATATAGATGTAGATTCACCATCATTTGGAAGACAAGTTGTCTTAATAGTATAATCTTCTGTGTTCTTAATCAAATTTATTTCACAAATAATTTTACAAACTTCAAGTTGCAAGTTAATAATAATCATGTAATTATTTTTTAGATGCATCCATAAGATATCTAAATGGTACATATAGTAGATGAATTGATCCATAAATTGCCTTTTGTATATTCCAATAAATGCAAGCAATTCAATTTGAACTTACTTAGTGATAGCTTAATAATTAATTTACTTTGAGAACAAACTAAGTATTAAAAATTTATTTGATTCAAGGATACATCTAGTTCTTTGATAAATAACCATCTAAGAATTTTAATTTTTTTACATCATTATTAATTGGGATGGTCCTATTACTTATGCCAATTTAATAACATTCTGAAATATTAGGGAAATAATAGTGCATTATGCATGAAATTTATTCGTTTTAATAACATTCTGAAATATTAGGGAAATAATAGTGCATTATGCATGAAATTTATTCGTTTTAATAACATTCTGAAATATTAGGGAAATAATAGTGCATTATGCATGAAATTTATTCGTTTTAATAACATTCTGAAATATTAGGGAAATAATAGTGCATTATGCATGAAATTTATTCGTTTTAATAACATTCTGAAATATTAGGGAAATAATAGTGCATTATGCATGAAATTTATTCGTCTAGATCGTAATAATTACACTTTTGGAGGCTATAGATAATTTTTACCAGCAAAACTAAATTTGTCTTTCTATATTTTGGTGTAAAATAAGTACATGACTATTATTCATACATGTCATATTATTTGTATCACTTCCGGTGGTAAGATTTATTTTCTTAATTATTTATGTGGCTACTATAATTGCTAATATTATTACTTCAACTGTGATCTTATTAATATTCTCAGCAACAAGCATATTTTTGTCATTGTTCATGTGCATACTTGATATTATGTGTTATTACATTCACTTTAAAAAATGCATTAGATCTAGCTGAATGGACGATACCATATGTTCAGTATTATATGTTATTATATTCACTTCAGTAAATCCAGTTGAGCAGACTTCATAATTTTATCAAGAGATCATTATTTTATTCAATAATAAAATGACATGGAATAAAATAAAATTATATCTTAAATCTTTACTCTCCATGTTGCTACTGCAATAGCACATTCCACGAATAAGTATCATAGACAATTTTAGGTCAAGAACTATTATAGACTTTAAACATAATAATAATAATAATAATAATATAATTAGAAAACAAATTTGATAGATTTTCAACATTGTACCTATATGAATTTATGTCCATACATAGCAATAATTATGATAAAATAATAATTTTAATGCTACAGAATTATAAACACTTGCAATTTTAAAATTTTATATTTATTTATGATGAACTTTTAATCATTATACGTTTTTTCAAATTATTCCAAAGAACAAGTAGATTTTTAACTATTAAGTATTCAATTATTGTCTTATCACAATTTTAGTTAGATTCTTGATTTTCTATATTTAATTGTGTCTTCAATCTCTATAATATCTTTCAATTGTGAATAAATTTGAACATGCAAATCTTAAATTTGGTTATTGCAAAACCAAAAATTATACCCTTTTCAAATGATTTGATTAAGAAGATGCTAGAAAAAGCATGTGCTAATAACTTATGATTTTTCAATGGTCACGTCACATAATTCTAAATTAATAGCTCTATTCGCTACTATCTTGTAATATTTCTTAATAAGTTGTAAAAAGTTATTATTTTTTGTAAAGTTGTTGAATTATAAAATTATAGCTTTAGGTTGTTTTTAATACTTTTTAAAAATTTATAAAGAGTGGATATTTCTTGTAAAGTTGTTGGATTACATAATAATAACTCCGATTGCCTATCTATATATATATATAATCCTGAAGTAAAAAATAGTTTTAAAATGCTGACATAATACTTTGCTTTGTCAGCAATTTATTTTTCTATTTTTTAGAAATTTTTGAGCTTTTCTATCCATTTTTTCTTTTTTTTTTTAAATTTTTTTGAGGTTTTTTCCCTTTTTTTCTTTGCATAAATATCTTTTTTTAAATTTTAAATTATATTATATGTTATCTATATAAAATCATTTAAATTGTAAAGTTTATCTTAATCTTTGTTTCTAACAATCTAATCATATCTCTTATAATATCTAATCTCTAACTAATCAATATTTAAGAGATTTTTCTTATAAACTACTCATCTTTATCTCTATAAAAGCTCATTTTATCTCACTTCTCTTATGGTCACAAGAGCCGTATTTCATGAGCAACGTGCAATGCTACGAGAGACAGCTTAGTCAAGCAATAAGCAGGTACCATTAGAAATTACAGTTTGAATTTGGAAGAGTTTTTAACTCTATAATTATGTTATTAAATAATGATTTTAATTTTGAATTGTTTTCATATGAATTATTTATCATTATCTTAATTTTATTACATTGTGTTGTTAATTTATGATGGTTCCATTTTAGCATTTTGTACAGAAGGAAATACGTTAAAGGTGGATTGCTTATGTATAATGTAAGAAATTGTATTAAAAGTATCAGATTGTGTGGACAAATTTACTACCTTATTATTAAAGATTAAAAGATTGGGAATTGCTACCATGTTGAGCTGAAGTATTTCTGCAAAGATAAGCTTGAGAAAGGTTTTGGTATCTGTATTGAGAGAAGACAGCAGAATTGAACTATATGCCATGTTTTTACTGTATTGGATGATTTGAACAATTAGGTTTTAAAATAAATAGTATAAGATTATTGTATAAAAAAATGATATATGATTATTGTATATAAAAATAATTAATTTTGTTTTATGATAATATTTTAATTTAATACGTTTTGGTGGTCTAATTTTTTAAAACATTTTATTTATATAAAACTAATTATATCATTCAGTTATCCAAATTTAAATTAAATGAATTAGTTTGAACTCTTACATGAAATCATAACATACTCTTAATTAAATGTGTTAGTAAGAAATAAGTTCAAGACCTATGACTAATTAAGGGATATTTAATAATATCATTCAATATTCTAATTTAAAAATTTTAGCTCTTATTACTAAATACAATAATTTTAAATTTACATTGAATAAAATATAAAATTTTACATAATATTACAATTTTAAAACTCCATCAAATTTTCTACAATCATTTTATAAAATGAGTTTAACTTGTATTACTAAATACAATAAATTTTAAAATTTACATGAATAAAATAAGTAAAATTTTTACAATAAATATTACAAATTTTAAAAAAACTCCAATCAAATTTTCTCCATAACAATCAGTTTATAAAAATAATTTTAAATTTACATTGAATAAAATATAAAATTTTACATAATATTACAATTTTAAAACTCCATCAAATTTTCTACAATCATTTTATAAAATGAGTTTAACTTGTATTTATATGTAAAGAGTTTATTTAATCTGGTTGAAATTAAATGCCTAATAATCTAAAATTTTAATTTTATTATCTAAATTTTGAAAAGTCTATATATACTATGAAACCATATATACTAAACAACTTATAAATTATAAATTAAAGTAAAAACTAAAAGTATAATATACAACAAAAATAACATGCGCAATGCGCAAGCCTTCACCTAGTGCATATATAATCATGAAGAAAAAAAAACTTCTAAAAGCTGAGTTGACATTCTATTAGTTTAGCATTTTCGTTTATCTTTTTCTTTTTACAAATTTTTAATTTTTTAATAATTTTTAAGTGTGTATATATATATAATCTAAAACTTTGAATATTAAAATTGTAAAACTTTAGAATTTTTTTGCCTATCTATATCCATATTTACCTCTCAATTCAATGATTTTTTTATGGAAAGAGTATTCTTAAGACAAAAGTTTTTTCTCCTAAGTCTTCATGTGCGGCGCGGGTGTGTTCAGTATTGTCCAACAAATTGTTTATCAAAGACCGAAGAATATGAACTTTCTAACAATTGTTTTCTTCTTATTTTTTTTTTATTTTTTCTTTAAATTATTTTGCTTTCATTTTTTAGATTTTGATTGAGCTCTACAAATTTTTAAACTTGTATTTATTTATTTATTTATTTTGATATGTATTGTTCTTGTTGCAATGCAGATAGAGGCAAAAATAAGAGCAAAGAAAAGGAATAGATATTCTCTTTCAACTAAGGTAATGTTGACTTTCTAGTTTAATTTTTTTTTCTTTATTTTTTTTTTTCATGCAAGAAGAAGTGGAGATGGAGGCAAGAATATGAGCAAAGAAAGGAAATAGATAAATAAGACTTTTTAGGAAAATAGTTTTTTATTTTTAATCTTTGTACAATTAGTTGTATGATATTGAGTATGTTTAGTAATAGTTTTTTCAATTTGTCTGTGAAATTTTTATGCTTATGAATGAAATGTCAGTCTTTAATATTAATTATTATTATTATTATTTTGCTTGCTTGCTGGGGTAGAAGATTAGAGAGAAATCTCTTTAGTTATATTAATAAAGTAAACATTTATATAATTGATTTAAAAGAAAAAAAAAAGAAAAAACATTTAATTCAATAAATACGTTCAAGCTAATAAAAGGAATTTATAAGATAACATCTAATAAATTAAAAAATAATTTACATATTATAAATTAAAAATATATTTAAATACAAATGATATTCTTAAAATTTAAATTTAAATTTTATTATCTAAATATTAAAAAATAAATTTTAATTTATCTATAATATTAAAAAATTATATATAATAATTAGATTTTAAAAAATTAAAAAAAAATTATATATAATAATTATATTTTAAAATTAATACTCATTTACAATAATTATCTATATCTATATTTGAATTTTGAATTTTTTCTTTTTTATTAGATCACTTAAGATACTTTTTTTTTTTTAATTTTAAGTTTAAAATTATTGATTATTTAAAATAATTATCCATATTTATTTAAATTTTTAAATATTGTTTTAAATGGGATAATTTAACTTTCTTTTTTTGTCCATTTATTTATTATTATTATCTATTTTTATATTTATATATCTTTATATTATTGCATTTTATGTTCTTTAACTCTTAGCTTATTTGCAAAAATATTTAACTAATGTTTATTTGTCAACGACTTTTGTATTGTATACATTTACCCTGTTTTAGTTTATACTTATTTATTTTATAATTTTTTTATTTGTTTCTTTTCAGTTGTAATTTTTTTTATAAATATTTATTTTTATATATATAATAAAGTAACTTTTAATAAAATGTATAATAATAAAGTAATAAAATAGTTCATACAACGCACGGACTTCTATACAGTCTTATAATAATTTCAATATATTGTAAAATATGACTGCTATGTTGTAAAATTGGTGGTTTAAAGGAAGTTAAATATTTTATAATATTTTTTAAACATTTTGTAAAAGATATCTTTTTTTTTTTTGGTTTACAAAATAATAGTTCTTATTATCAATATTTTGTAATACTTTCAAATATTGTATAAAATGTGATTTTTTTAAAAGTCGTTCGTTTATAAAATAATAGGTTTAGTTTTATAATATTTTATAAAAGATGACTATTTTTTTTGTAAAAGACTAAAAGTTGATAGTTAAAAAATAATATGCACGAATGTTACTATTTTGTAATATTTTCAAATATTTTGTGAAATTTTTTTTTTTCTGAGAATGAAAAATATATTTTTAACAAAAGAGCTGTTTATAAAATAATAGGTTTGAACGATCAATATTTTATAAAAAAATTACTATTATTTTATAACTGAAGTAAAATTAATGCAATTTTATTCGCATATCCCTCAAGTCAGCACAGCACGAATCTATCAGTTCACCAAAGTCGTTATGACAGTTGAGTCACGTGGCTTTTGTCACCTAACCTATCCGGTCTCCAACTAGTCTTTCGTCAAAAAAAAAAAAAAAAAAAAGTTCGTCAAAAAAAAAAAAAAAAAAAAAAAAAAAAAAAAAAAAACTAAATAAATAAATAAACTACGTGTGTAATACTTACTCCATCCCAAAATATTTAGAGTTAAATCTTTGACGAAAATTGACTTTTAATCGAACTCTTTACTCTCTGCGTTTTTTTTTTTTTATTAATTTTATTTTTCTTTTATATCTAAAAAAATAAATAACATGAGTATTTTTTGAAAAAAAAATTGAATGAGACTGCAGTTCAGAAACTTAAAATTCTATATCTACATAGAAACATTCATTTTCATTAGATTTAAACAATTTTATTGTGAATCGTTGGATTTAAAAATCTTTAATAACTTGCTATCTATAAAAGAGGTCATCATTTATTATTCATATATCTTATTACTTATTATTTTATTCATTATTAAATATTAATAGAAATTATTCAATAATAATAAAGATATTAATTCCTTTTAATAAACAATTAAAATAAAAAATTTATTTAGTTTTCCTCTAAAATAAAATTAAAAATAAATATTTTCTACCAATATTAAGTTTTTTCTGGATTATAATAATAAAAGAAAAATTTTAATGATCAAAAATTGGTAAAAGTTATAAACAATTACGTCCCAAATATAACTTAAATTCTTAATTTTATATCAAAATTAATTATAAAAATTCTATAACTTAAATTGATAAATTTGTACTAATATATTATTTATAACTTTAATATCTTTAAGTTCCGAACAATTTAAAAAATTATTTGCAAATTATTATATGATATTCAAAATTTTTTCCTTTAGTAAATTTGGCTTTCAATCAGTATTAATTAGATTTTCATTCTAGTTCATGCTTTTACAACAAATTAGTTATAAATTTTCATATCTTTGGATACTATAAAAATAATACAAAAAATATTTTTGATATTAAATTAAGATAATCAGTTCTGTAAGGTACAAAAGATTGCAAAAAGGCCCAAGCCTGGGCTTTTGATAAGCTCGTGAAGACGCCGTCGCAGTAACCGTGGACCACAGTGCGCACCTTCAACGCGTGCCTCCCACCTGCGCGCTTCTAGGATCAGCCAGTAGGCTTCCCATTCGGCCCAAGGAGTCTAACATTTGTTCAATAAAAATAAAAATTAGTTTATAAATTGAAAAATTGAAAAATAGTATTATTTAAACAATAAAACTAGTTTATATATTGAAAAATAGTATTTGAACAATAAATTTGTAACCTGTTAACCTATTATAACAAGTTTATTAGAAATGTGTCAATAGATTAAGAATTCTGTATGGGTGCAGAATTTACTCACTTATCGACCATTATAAAAGTCAAAAATTTAGTTTTTTTTTTTTTTTCTGATCATTCATTAATAAAAAAAAACATAAAAATAAATTTAAAAAAACACTTCATTTTTTTTAATAAAATAAACTTTGGTCGACTAACATGGTCGTGTACAGGTCAACACAACTCACTTAACCTGTTTATGACATTAAGCGGGTTGCACAAGTTGTATATACGTCAACAAGACTCACTTAACCTGTTTATGATATTAAACTGGTTAAAAAGTGTTGTGTTCATATCACCTGCCTAATTTATATATCATGTTCATATTGGTAAATTTAACACAATTATTAAATGAGTCGTATTCGTATTAAACCTAATCGTGTCTCGTGTTAGGTGAATCTGTGTCAAACCTGACATGTCAACCCATTTTAACACTTTTAGGTCATACCATGCATTGATTTTGCTATTGCATACTTTGGTAAAATGTTTCATATGATATTTAAGAAGATATATCTTAGTATTGCGACTTTTTTTGCTATATCTCAATGAGATACAATTTTATAATACATTTTACGATCATTTTATTATACAATTTTATTATTTTTGAATGATGCTATAAAAGATTATTTCATCATTTAATATTATTTTGCGCATGGCGTGGACTCTAATACTAGCTGTAATAATAATAAAAAACATTTGAACGTCACGTGCCTAACCAACTATGCAGCTAAGTTGCAAAAATGAAAAATGAGCCCCCGGTTTTGAAGCACTTTGTTTATAGTTAGTATTTTCGCCCCCGGTTTTGAAGCACTTTGCTTAAAGTTATTATTTTCGTTTATAAAATGTTTCAATCATTGCCTCGTTCTTCGGTTGGCAACGCAGGCTAAATGTACGGGAAGAATTTTCGGATTCAATTCTTACTAAATACATTTGTTTATAGTTATTATTTTCGTTTATAAAATGTTTCAATCATTGTCGCATACTTCAGTTGGCAATGCAGGCTGGACGTGCAGAAAGAACTCTCAGATTCAATTTCAATAAATATACCTGGACGGAGGGGTGAAGAGCCTTAATAGTGACTATGCCTTGAGCCAGATTTAGTCGGTTTTTAGTAATAGGGTCCGAACACCAGTGGTTACAAAAAAAAAAAAAAAAAATTGAGCAAAGGAAACGCAGGCTAAATGTACGGGAAGAAATTTTCAGGATTCAATCATTTACTGAAAATATCCATGTGTTTGTAATAAGTTATTTATTGTTCGTTTTATGAATATGGTTTTCAATCATTGTCGCATACTTCAGTTGCAATGCAGGCTGGATCGCGGGGAGATAGACCGTAGACGGGCCATGAAGAGACTCTCAATTCAATTGTCAAATAAATATATGAGTCCCTGGACGGGAGGCGTGAAGAGGCCTTAATAGTGCTATGCTTGAGCCAAGATTTTATCGTGGGACTTGCGTTGTTTTTTTAGTAAATAGCGTCGAACACCAGTGGTTTACAAAAAAAAAAAAAAAAAAAAAAAAAAAAAAAAAATTCAGGCGAGAAAGTCTCTCTTTATATAAAAACTATTAGTTAAATTTTTGCGTTCGATTAGAGGGATCATTAGATTTTAAAATAATTACAAATAAAAATATATAAAAGATATCTTTATTGTGAAAGAAAAAGAATTGTTGTATGAGTCAATTAGAGGTTCTATTTTTATAAAATAAATTATCGTGAATTTACAACAATGAACGTAGCACAGGAGTAACGTCAGGGTCTAGGAGGAACAATAAAAAAAAAGCAAAAAAAACAAAAAAAAAAACAAAAAAAAAAAAAAAAAAAAAAAATTCAAGCTAAAATTCCCATAAAAATATTATTTAAATTTTTTCATAATCATTATTTTTAAATAATTACAAATAAAATATATAAAATATTTATTTGAAAAAAAGAATTGTTGTAGTCATTATTTTTATAAAATTATTAACTAACAATTGATAAAAAAAAAAAAGTTTTAAAATGCAGCCCTCTTAACCTCATAAGTACAATTTTTTCAAAACGGACGTTTCATTGTAAACTTTTTCCATCTAAACATAAATTGGAAAATTAAAATCGCTCAAATATAATTATTTATAAGAATTCCTCTCTATTTTATTACCGTTGAACTAAATAATGAATCTGACCACCATTTGCAGTTCATAAGATGAAATAAAATCTCACTAAACACAAAATAACTAATCAAATATGAAATAAAATTATCTTATGTTCTATAAAAAGTACTCATTTTATTGTAAAAAAAAAAAAAAAAAAAAAAGGAAAAAAAAAAAAAAAAAAGAAAAATAGTAAAACAAGGCAATAGCCCCTTAGCATAATAATCTTGGGAGTACTTTGATTCAATGGAGAAGCCAAATTGAATAGACGTGATTTCGTGAGTTTGATTTTCTAATTAAATCGATTCTTTTAGAAAGATAAAAATTATTGTTTCAATTATTTTAATTTTAATTGTTAATCAATAAAATTATTTATTTTGCTTAGTTCTATTCATTTATTCATATTTATTCGATTTGGTTCAATTTTTATATTTTGAAAATTCGATTTACGCTAGGATGATTAACACTCAGTTTTAGTCATGTGCCAATGGTTGCAGTTACAGTTTGTTTATTAGTAGTTATTAGATATGTAGCTATATATCATGTATTGCAATATTTTTCTTAATTTTTTTAAAAATTAAAATTAATATATATATAATTGCAAAATTTTAGAAGGCTGGCTCGCAATAGGGTTTCTGTTCTTGGTATATATTGTTAAGGAGATTCTCCGAGGACGTAAAGAGCTCGAACATACTAGCAACTATGGGCTTAAAGATGACTCACCTTTATCGGCCAATATTTTGGGAGAGGCTTTCCAACCTAAGTTAGGATGCCTACTTTTTAGTCATTTGATGGATCCACAACCCTTGCAACCATTTGGCGACCTTCAGAACCATGAGGTATTTATAGACCAACTAAGATGAGCTCATGTACAAGGTCTTTCCGGTCACAGTCAGGAGTGGTATCAGGCATTGAAAATAAGTTATATCCGACCATTTACTTACTGGCTATGCTATTCAAAGCTTGCTTTATAACTAGTATACCATAAAAAAAGATCTCTTCCGACCTAGTCGATTTGTCGTCTAAACGGAAAAAAAAAATATTTAAAAAATTTAACGGAATAGAGAGAGTAATTAATATGATTAAGTAATAATTTTTTCCCCTAATATGCCCTTATATTAATGCCCTTATATTAATGATCCATAAACTAATGAAAAATAAATTTTTGAACACAATAATCAAGACAATAAAAGAAGACCATTTTTAGAGTTGTTTGTATACACTAATTTGTTTGATGGTTATTAATTATGGACCATTGGAGCACTACATTTATTAATATTCATGCCATTAAAGAGGGGCAAACTAGGAACTAATTAAATTGTTCACTTCCTAAAAAAGAAAAAAAAAAAAGAAAACAGCAACATCGACAGATAAAAAGGAATTAGGAAATCATCTTGTCTCAGATCTCTTATATAGTTTCTAGGCAATAACCCGCATTTCGCTCAACTATATAATATTTATATTTTTAATTTCAAGTGTAAATGTAAGTTAGTGTATTGAGTAAAATACTAAACTTCATTTTTTTGGAAGAAGCGACTGGAAATATTATTAGAAATTAAAGTAGAACGATTTACGTATTTGATTTTTATTCTTTTATAGAGATTTAACATGGAGAGCATGTTAAACTATCAAAACATAAAATTAAATTCATTATTGCATAAAATAAATTTAAATTATCTTTTATTGAACATACTTTAATCCCTGCAAAAATAAAAAAAAACAAAAATAAAATTAGCAAAATACAAAATGATAATGAAATAAGAAAAAATAAATTAAGCAAACAAAATAAACAAAGCAATAAAAAGCCATGTTGTTCTTCTTTAAACTAAAAAAGTAAACCACCAAGTTAAATTTTCGAACAAATTAGAAATAAATTTAGAAATTTTGAAAAAAAAAAAAGAAAAACAGAATAGTGAATAGAAAAAAGAATTTTAAACTTTTCCTTTATACTATATCTAAATATCGCAAATCTTTTAAAAAAGAATTTAAACTTTTCCTTTATACTATAGGTCAAATATCCAATCTTTTTTATATAATATAATATATATATATAATATATATATATACCAAAAAACCATCCGATTTCACCTCAACTGATTTCCAAATCAAAATTAGAAAAAACACATGGTCAGCTGCTTTAGTTTAATGTGAATATATACCAAAACCATCGATTTCACGTCAACTTGATTTCAAATCAAAATTAGAAAAAACACATGGTCAGTCCTTTAGTTTAATGTGAATTATGCAACTGCATTAATACAAACCATAAACTGAATTTAAAGATTCCAAATATTATTGATATGGAAAATTTAATTCATTATGAGAAGAAAAATAAAAAGCATCAGAAATTGAGGGTTGAGAAAATTTGAGACTTTGTCCTTACTTGGAGTAAATTTGGGATATATATATTGGGATCAAGATAAATTCGAGTAGGATAAAGATTGTGAGAATCATACATTATCTGTTAATTAGAGTTTACCTAGGAGTATAATATTCCTTAATAGATATTTATATATTATCATTTGATATATTTTATTATTATATATTATGAGTAGTCTCTCAAAAGGAGTTGGTCATTTATGTCCAACAAATATTATAGCTGGTAGAGTGTTGTGGCTGAATTACTTAAACTGTAATGAATGGACTGCTTTAAGTCCGAATAGATGGATTAAGTCCATTTAAGTGTTGAATTGCTTTAGCCGGCGTGAACTGCTTTAAGTCTAAATTTATTAAGACTGCTTAAATGTGAGCTATTTAAGCTCGGATGGTAGACTACTTAAGTTCGAATAGGTGAGCTACTTAAGCTTGAATAAATGGACCGTTGAAGTCCATATGAGTGAGTTGCTCAAGCTCGAATAGATAGATTGCTTAAGTACGATTAAATTAGCGTGAACTTCTTAAGTCCATTTAAATTGGCATGGACTGCTTGAGTCCGAGTTGATGGACTGTTTATGTCCAAACAGATGGATTGTTTATAGATTGCTTAAGGCCAAATGATGGACTGTTTATGTCCAAACAGATGGATTGTTTATAGATTGCTTAAGGCCAAACTAGAAAATTGGTTATGTCCGATTAAATTAGCGTGAACTTCTTAAGTCCATTTAAATTGGCATGGACTGCTTGAGTCCGAGTTGATGGACTGTTTATGTCCAAACAGATGGACTGTTTATAGATTGCTTAAGGCCAAACTAGAAAATTGGTTATGTCCAGTTTGATGTACTGTTCATGGACCGCTTAAGTCCGAATTGAAGAAGTTGTTATGTCCGGCCTAATGGATTAAGGACCACTTAAGTTCGAATTGGAGAAGTTGTTATGCCCGAATTGATGGACTACTTAAGTTTGAATTTGTTGAGGAGTGCTTAAGTCCAAATTTGCTTAAGTCCAAAATTGTTGAGGACTGCTTAAGTCTGTGTTTATTGAGGACTATTTAAGTTCAATATTATAAACTCTATTGTAGCTATCACACTTAAATATAGAGATTTCTATAAGTAAAAAATAATATATAGTAATCGAATTAATTTGTCCTTTTTTTTTTTTTTTTACATGACATATACTCGGCTTTTATTAAATAGTATAGTTATATGCATGGCTCCAAATAAATAAATAATAAATTCTCCTAATAATAAAATAATCAAAATCAAGTATGATAAAATCAATTTAATTTGTCGTAATAATGGCTAAATTCTTTTTAACCAATCAAATGGATATATTTTTTTTGGGTTAGATTTCAGCATTAATTTTTTTATTTTTATGATCACATCATATAACAATTTTAATACTACCATGTAATCAACTTATAAATTGGTCTTCCTCTCTAAAAATAAAAATGACGTTGTTTGAGCCGTCACAATTGCATTTTCATTCAAAAATTATTGAGAGAGAGAATTATCACTATTTGCATATGGAAATATAATTGTGTAAAGCCCACAGGCTAGAGGGTTCAACTTTGTTTTTGCAAACTATTAAAGGCAAGTAGATTAGATGTTATAAAGTGAAGCAATTAGTTCATCACCAGCTAGCTAAAACATAGACAAGAAAAGTATTTCTATTCAATAATTAGGGCATGCACAACAAATCCAATTAGAAGCTTATTAGTACAACATCCTTATCTCTATTTTCTATTTAGCCATGATTACTAGGTTAATGACATAAAATTATCAACATTCACAAATTTGGTCAAACATTAGCCTTTATCAAATATTAAACCGTATGATAGCTAAAATCCATTTTTTAGTTTGAGTTTTTTGTTTTTTTTTTTTTTTCAACCGCATGGGTAACACTACTCTCTAGATTGTTGCTTTATATTCCTCTATTGTTTAAATTGAATTATTATTAGTGACTCTGTAAGTATGTTCCTCTGCATGATCAATGAGTTTAAGGCTATCCTGTAGTCAAAAATATAATTTTTGCACTTAGCTAATGGTTTACGTAGAAGGCATCAGTTGGAATTATCATCTACTATATGATGTTGGATACTGATCACGCAAAACGTACACTTTTATATCTATGTATAACTTTCAATTATTCACTTGCAAAAATATGCAGTTTCTCTTGCCTATTTGTGTCCATACGCTAGCATATATTAATTCAAGTAATTCCTTTTTCTATGAAGAAACTAATGCTTCTGATGAATATAACAAGAGGACAATGGAAGAAATAAAAAAGGAAAAGAAAAAAACACAAGGAAGAAAGAAAAAGAAAAATCGAATTGAAAACTACTTCAACTAGTGCAAGAAACACAACATCCAACATTTGAAGTTTTAATATTAATTAAATTGTTCGTTATCTGAAAAGTAAATGTTCGCTTACCTCATAGCCGGCGCAAATAGCGGTTCTCTTTGTGAGGAAACATAGCCCCATTGCCTGAGAATCCAAACTCATCTCCTCCAAGCCCAAAACTTTTCTAGCATCTATACATTCTTTTAAAAGTAAAAGGTAGCTCGTATTTATATGGTGGGATATCCTCCCAAGTCCTACATCGGATAAAGAGGAGAAATGAAACCAAAATATAATGGTTCAAACCCAACCCATTAGTATGAGGCCTTTTGGGAGGTGCTGGTTCAAACCCAACCCATTAGTATGAGGCCTTTTGGGAGGTGCCCAAAAACAAATCCATGAGGGCTTGGCCCAAAGCGGACAATATCATACTAATTCAGGGTTAGATGGTACGCGCGGTCCTATCATTATAGAACATTAAAAAGGTGTGCTATATGCTCACCGCACTATTTGTTAACCATCAAAAATTGAGGGTTGAGAGAATTTGAGACTTCAGCACTATTTGTTAACCATCAAAAATTGAGGGTTGAGAGAATTTGAGACTTCATCCTGCTTGGAGTAAATTTGGGATATATATATTGGAGTTAAGATAAATTCTATTAGGACAAGGATCGTGAGAATCCTACATTATCTGTTAATTAGAGTTTGCTTGGGAGTATAGTATTCCTCAATATGTATTTATATATTATTATTTGATATATTTTGTTATATATATATATATATATATATATGATGATATATTTACCATAAACATTTGCGATCTAGGATTAGGATGGTCCAGACTTGGAAGTTCAAAGAAGTCACTTTTCAATGGATCATAACGACAGAACTTTCAGATGTCATTTAGACGCAAGTGAAAACCCTTAAAACATTAAATCTAATTGGGACAATCCCAATCCATTTTTTGGGGATGCAGTAAATTGCCATTTGCTATTTACTGTGGAGGTATTCAGTCTCTTCTCTTGGCAAGATAAACTTAGTGGTCAATTCTCTTATATTGATTTGGTGCACCTAAAAATATTTTTTTAGTTTCTTTTGATGTTTTCCGGGAGAATCAAATCCTAATTCTTTTTTTTTTTTTACTGATTGTACTAATCCCGTTGAATATAAAATTCTTAATTAATAAATGAATAGTGTCAATAAATTTTAAAATATTTTTATTATTATTACCAATGATTCCTTTTCCTTAATCAAAAGTGCTGAGGTAGAACTTTTTATCCAAAGTCTCTTTCAGTATTTGGAATAGAAAATCCTTCACCCCTTTGTAGATTTGTTTGGTGTAAATCCATATTAATTGGGCTTGTGGCTTCAAATATTATAACACTATATATATAATTATAACACTATATATATATATATATATTATATATATATTATATATATATATAATATATAGAAGATATATATAGAAGAAAAGATTTTCTTATTGCTTGGACAAATATTTATATTATCCAAACAATACAACTCTTGATAGACAGTTACTTGTAATGTAATTGTTTAAAAATTCTTTTTGAAATTTATAAAATAAAAATATTAATTAAATAATTAAAAAGAAATTATAGGGTCTTATCTTTGATTTAAAATATAATTAAACAAAATATTTGACTTAAAGAATTATAGAATTGGAAAATTATTTGGTTTAAAAATATTTATTATTATTTTTTAATTGTGTTTGATCTAAACCAACTATTTCATTATTTTTTAATTATTTTTTAATTTATATTAAAAATTTTAAATTGGCTTTTTATTCTTTTGCTGCAAGTTCAGGAGGTAAATTATACAAAAAGTTGATTTAATTTTTATATCTCGATACTTTATAATTAAAGCGAGATTGAAAATTATGTTATCCTCTTTCCATTCCGAATCGTGCATCCTATATTATATACATAGGGATACCACGTGGTGCCTATGGATATAGGAGTATGGAACTCTAATTTTTATATCTCGATACTTTATAATTAAAGCGAGATTGAAAATTATGTTATCCTCTTTCCATTCCGAATCGTGCATCCTATATTATATACATAGGGATACCACGTGGTGCCTATGGATATAGGAGTATGGAACTCTAATTTTTATATCTCGATACTTTATAATTAAAGCGAGATTGAAAATTATGTTATCCTCTTTCCATTCCGAATCGTGCATCCTATATTATATACATAGGGATACCACGTGGTGCCTATGGATATAGGAGTATGGAACTCTAATTTTTATATCTCGATACTTTATAATTAAAGCGAGATTGAAAATTATGTTATCCTCTTTCCATTCCGAATCGTGCATCCTATATTATATACATAGGGATACCACGTGGTGCCTATGGATATAGGAGTATGGAACTCTAATTTTTATATCTCGATACTTTATAATTAGAGCGAGATTGAAAATTATATTATCCTCTTTCTATTCTAAATTGAACTCATACGCATCCTTTGTTATATGGGTAGGAATACCATATGGTGCCTATGGATATAGGAGTTTGGAACTCTAATTTTTATATCTCGATATTTTATAACCAGTGCGAGATTGAAAATTATATTATCCTCTTCCTATTCCGAACCCATTCATACACATCATTTATTATATGGGTAGGGATACCACGTGGTGCCTACGGATATAGAAATTGGAACTTTAATTTTTATGTTTCGATATTTTATAATTAGAGCGAGATTGAAAATTATTATCCTCTTCCCATTCTGAATTGAATTCATGCATAATTTATTACATGGACAATGACACCACATGGTGGAAAAAAAAAAAAAGGAAGAAAGAAAACAAAATCCCCTATCTATGCAACATCAAAAATCCAATTATTGGTCGCAAGTACAATCAACTCTCATGTATACCAAATTATTCTTATTTTTCTATTTTGATACAATGATTATAAGTCTCTAGCTAGAGATTTTATTTCATTATCATTTTTGTTTGTTAAAAAATCACCGAACCAAGCGGTTTATTCTTTAGCATGAGCTACTGATTATATGAAGTGAGATATTAGCCCTCCAGCTTTTATTCATGATGTATTGCTTTTTACCTTAATAATAATTAAGCAGGCATTTTCTTAAAAAAAAAAAAAATTTTCATCCTCTTCAAATACAAATTAATATATACTCAAGTTTTTTAAAATAAGAATCTCGGATTACTATAATATAAAATACATGAGAGGAAAGATTCCCTACTCCCCTTTTCTAGGGGAGAAAAATGAGATAGACGGGCAACTACTACCGTTGTTTTGTCGTATTGCATGTAGATCATTAACCCATCTACCATTCATCACCTCTTTTTCTTTGTTGTTTTTTCTTTTCCCAAACAAACAGTGCTTTAATCTGTTTCAAGTGTGTATTTTTATAATTGCCTTTAAATTTCATTTTTTTTTGATTAATTATTATTATTTTTCAGTTAAGGGTTGATTTTTTTTTTTTTTTGAATTGCATGTTTTCAAGAGAGAGAGAGAGAGAGAGAGAGAGAGAGAGAGTGCTTTGTGAGTTAAATAATTTCAAAGAGGTAATTCATTTTAATTAGATGATATAATCAAATATATTATGAAATAAAATGGAAGAAAATATTAAATATAAATATTTTGTTGTGATTGGTTTGATTATGACAATAAAGAAAGACAGCAAATATAAATGGTTTGGCCGATGTTGCACGAAAAGATTCCTATTAGCTTGCACGTTTTCAACAACTCCACCTATCTACTGCGAACTAAAACTTCTTGCTATCCTCAACCAAGAAAGCGTTCTACAATACATTTCCAGGTTCTTTTTTTTTTTAAGAGAAAAAGTGTAGATTTAAAAATTTTCTTGTGGCACTTCTATTAATTAAGAGTGTATACATAAAAACCTAGATGATAACAAAAAAAAAAAAAAAAGTTACCTTAGACTTCGCAATTGTTTTTGTTGTGATTAGGTAAGTTGACCCGCCTGCCATCAGTGACAAAATACAAAGGAGAAGAGAGCTACCGAATGTAGAGGAATAATGGTGTGTAGCGCGCGCATGAGATAATGCCTCGACGAGAAATAAGACTGTGAAATGCACTAACTTGAGCGTTGCACCGTTGTTTATCCAAACGAAGGTGCTCCACCTATCTACTGTGCGCCAACTTATACCATAAGAAACTATCACTTGTGGGCTTAGTTCTGGCGTCTGACTAATCCAGAACAGACCAGAGAACGCGTTCTGATCAATTGGTACAACATGTGAAATGCTCACCGGAGTCTTCTGTTCTTATGTGGGAGAGAGAGAGAAATGTGTAGATTTTAAAAATTTTCTTGTTGTAGGCACTCTCTAATTAGAGTGTCAATATACACCTATAGAGAACCTAGCGATAATCGATAAACAATAAAAAACACACAAGAGAAAAAATGGTGATAAAAAAAAAAAAAAAAAAAGTAAGAATAGTAACAAGACGGTCTGGAATAACATAGAAATGGGTTATTTGTGCCAAATTATGAATTAATAGGACTCCACCTATATATCAAACGAATTACAAACAATGTTTTTATTTAAATTAATGTATTTCTGACCATATATTAAAAAAAATAAAATAATTAAAAAAATTTTTTAATTGATTGAATGTATAGAACCACTCATACATTGAGTGTAGGTAAGAAATTTCTTATAATCTAACAATCCTCGATGACCAAGTCCCATTTTGAGCCATCATAAGTACTCAGGAGGGATGGACACAAAGCATAGGTAAGGAGGGGTATGCAAATATGCAGTTCGGTTCCGCACGAAACTGTAAAAACTGAAAATCGAAAATAGATATTTTTTGAAATTGAACCAAACTGAAATAAGTTTGGAAACTGAATTCATCGGTTGGTTCAATTCAGTAGCATCAATTTGATCAAATAGTTCGATGTTACTCAGAAAATAAATATTTTAGAATAACCGATCCAAAGACTAAAAATCAAAATTAAGAAAATTTTCAAACCAAAAACTGAATAACCGAACTAGAAACCGAAAATACATTGGTTCGGTTCGATTTTTAACTTTTTCCAAAGTTTGCTGACCGTATAGGTAAGGGAGCTGTGGCTTCAAATGATAATATATATATACATATATAAAAAAAAACTTAATTTTGCCTCATAATTAAGTAAAATTATCTTTTAGCCCCTTCATTATTGGGCTGATTCTGCCGCTGGGTGGTGGGTACATGTTTTGT